GCCCGCCCACCCGCCCGCCCGCTCACGTGATAACATAATACGTCCCCGTCTTCGACGGGCGTATAAAAAGCTTGTGGCATAGTTTTTAAAAAGTGTGCTGATGAGTTGTGTACCACTGTGTAACATTTTCAACCGTTCATTGAACGTTGGTATCTTTCCAAGTATTTTTAAAGGGGCTAATGTTATTCCCATTTTTAAAATTGGTTAACGTCATGAAGTCTCTAATTACAGACCAGTAATTATATCTGAAGTTATATCTAAAGTTTTCGAAAAACTGGTTGACGTACATTTTTCTAATTTTATAAATCCGCTTATCTGCAATGAGCAACATGGTTTTATGCCAAAAAGGTCTACTGATTCAAACCTTGCATGTTTCACCGATCAGATTTCCAAAGCCTTTGATAAAAAAGTAGAATTACATGTTGTATATACTGATTTTTCAAAGGCATTTGAAAAATATCTGAGTAAAGCACAGATTATTATTGCATAAGTTAAAATTGTATGGTGTAGAAGGTAGCATTTTAGATTGGTTTACTACTTATTTGAAAGACAGATTCCAGCGTGTTACTGTCAATGGGGCAACATCCAATTGGTGTGATGTAACTTCCGGTGTGCCTCAAGGTTCAATACTTGGACCTAAACTTTTCCTTATTTTTATCAATGAACTGCCATCTATTGTGATTTTCTAAAACTTTTATGTTTGCCGACGACAGCAAATTTTTTAAGTGTGTAAGAACGTTGTCCGAGTGTGAGCAGCTACAGAGCGATATAGATAGAGTGTATGATTGGTGCACTGTGTGTTAAATGAAAGGGAATGTGAAAAAGTACTGCCAGGTCATTTTTACATACAAGAAGAAATATATGAATTTTAATTACACTATGAACAGTGACAACCTGAAGAATGAATGGTGTGTGAAAGATCTTGGTGGTTGGCTGACCTCTTCTTTAGTACCCACATTAGATGTACTGTTTCCAAATCAATGCGAATGCTCGGTTTTATAAAACGTACATGTAAAAGTTTTAAACAAATACCTGTTTTAAGGTATCTATATATAAGTCTTGTCAGCAGTCAGTTAGAATACTGTTGTCAGATCTGGTCTCCTTACCAAACATCACCAGGTCGAAGTTGTCCAGCGTAAATTTTTGATTTTTTTGCTGTTTTAAGGCACACGTAGACTACAATTCCATGGCTTACGCTGACACTTAATGTAGGTATTTTAATCTTCCCAGCCTCGAACATAGGCGGGCATTTTTAGACTGTGTATTTCTTTACAAATGTTTTAATAGTGCTTTTGATTGTCCATATTTAGTCAAGCAAATGTGTTTTTTAGTCCCTGGTCGTAATCTACAATCAATTCGTTTTAACCAGTTTTACTGCCAGGGAAGTAGAATAAACGTTAGAAAGTATAGTATTTTAAACAGGATTCAATGTAATTTTAACTATCTTGATTTTGCACCAGACTGTGATATGTTTTGTTCCTCTCTCGCCAAGTTCAAAGTACGGTTAAAGAATAGTTGCTATCACTAATTCCTTTTGTTTTACATATGAGTATCTTTTAGTCTGTGTTACATGCATAACTGACTGTGCTATTTTATACTTGTGTTGTAATGTTGTTATCCATTCTGTAGGTGGACCCTTGGGTCTGTTGAAATGGAAATAAATAAATAAACTGATTCCAATATTTACATATATACTTACAGTATTGTCATCTACATTAACCTTTCCAAAGCTGACATCAGTATTTTCCGAGGCCAGTACCTACAAAACCAATAATAATTGTCTCACTTATTAACATCATATTTATGTTGTGACTTTACTTTTCGATTATTCTGCATAATAATTTCAGCAAGTTAAATGAAAGCTGGATCAAGCGCAGAATTTATGTTGCTAAATCTTGAAAATGGTTTCAAGAATATGGACTCTGTAACCAATTAACAAAGCAAGAATTTATCAACAATTCAGTACATTACAAATAAAATTACCTGAATTTGAGGTGCAATCATCCTGCAGGGTCCACACCAGTCAGCATAAAAATCTATGACCACAAGTTTGTCAGTTGCCAAGAATGCATCAAAATCTGCCTATAGAACAGAAAAGAAAAATCTTACTGTACACCCCTGTACATACAGCTGAACTGATATATAAAGGTGAAAACTGACCAATACAAATAACTGAAATTTTTCTTGAAAATATAATTTAGTTTTACCTTAAAAGTGGATCCAGTTAGAATATATTTTAATTAATATTCTTAATATATGACTTTGTAGCTCTTCATCCTATCAGGATATTGGCCAAATATCATTACCCAAGGCCAATTGGTTAGTGAGAAGTCCTATCAGGATATTGGCCAAATATCATTACCCAAGGCCAATTGGTTAGTGAGAAGTCCTATCAGGATATTGGCCAATAAAGAGAAGTCCTTTAAAATAAAAGTTGTTATTGCATCTTGTGCATGTAACACATCACATCGTCTGTTTCCATGATTTAAACATGTTTATTTTTTATAGTAAGGTCAGTGACATTTACAAACAAGAGTACCGCGTAGTAAGGTCAGTGACATTTACAAACAAGAGTACCGCGGGGCGGAACAACATTCGCCCATCGAATGCCATATAGTGTTATATACTTTCTTACATTGAAATAAGATCTGCAGCATTCTAAGAGTGGTTAGCTGACATGCTATAACGCTACAACACTCACCTTTCACAACGAAGTTAATGTTTAACTTTTTAACTTAAATCGGTGAATCAAAATTCTTTTAAGGGAGACACAACTTCATATCATGCTTATAATGTATACCAAGTTTCAAAGAGATCCGTTGAAAAATGTAGCAGGAGATTGCCGGACAAAAATCAAATACTGAAATAAAGAAAGGGCACTAACTTTTGCAAAAATTGTCGAATCAAAATCCTTTTCAGGAAACACAACATATCATGATCATTTCGCCTACTAAGTTTCAAAGAAATCCGTCAAAAATTGTAGGAGGAGTTCTTTTATTGAAATGATCGTCTGCTGGATAACTGAACTACTCGGTAGTGAAGCGGACATAAAACCTATCAATCAATCAATCAAGTTGTTTTCACTCGTAAACTTAATATTGAACGTACCTATCGCACAGAAAAAGAAAGTTTTACAAATAATATCGTCGCGTATCAGGAAAGACTGTTTTTAGGTCGGGGCTTCACAAACATTAAGAGAAACGATTCTTGAATCACGAACAGACAGTCGCTAATGGCTGATGAAAAGTTTGAAGTTATTTTTTCCAATAAAGTGGCGTATATGATTCAACACACCAGAGACTTGTAGTAATAAACAATTTTAATCTGATGCGATGAAAAAATAACGAGTTTCGGGAAGTGCTTTGGCATGTTGGATAGACATAGTACGTAGGTAGTCCAATACATAATCATGCAACAAATCGGATTGCAAACATGGTATAAATGCTAAGGGTTTAACTATTATTTGTTGCTTAGGATAGTAGCCAGAAGTAATTGTGAAATGTTTTTCCACTGTCAAATTATCATATTTTTTTTATCTTTCATGTTATGAACTTTTTCATGTTACTATGGTAAAGTTCTTACTTTTGATATGAACTGTTATTTTTTTAACAGGTCATGGAAATACAGAAAAAAGACTGGTACCTGTTCTAGCCAAGGGTGGAATCGTTACAAGAAAGGTCTTTGATTATATAATGTGTTGCATTTCTGATGTCAGTTTTTTGTGTGTGATAAATACAAATCTTTTATATATCTGCAAAAAATGTTTTGTTTTATTTTCCTACAAAGATCTTGAAGTGAAAATATCAACAATGCAGATGTTATAGCAGTCAGAGAAAGCCAGGATTTGTTCGATACATTTGTAAATGTTATCTTAACACCCAAAACGACGTTACACCGTGACGCCGTCAAAAGTCTCACACATTGTAAAACCCAGTGGAGGGAGATCTCCCACACTGGACTCCTAAGAGGTTGGCAACCCTGCAAAGGGGAATTACTTTTGCAAAAATTGTTGAAACAAAATTCTTTTAAGGGAGACACACCTTAATATTTCATATCATGGTTATAATGTATACCAAGTTTCAAAGAGATCAGTCGAAAAACGTAGAAGTAGATTGCCAGACAAACAAAAGTTTACGCCGGACTGACGGACGACGCTATACCATAATACTCCCATCAAATTTGACTGGCGTATGAAAACAGAAAGAAAATGAAACCAGTGGAAAAAACAAATAAATGGTCAAACAGCTTATTTCTGAAAATTTAACTAAAATACAGTTATATCAATGTCAAAGGTCTTGATTAGTTATTCACAAACAATCTTGAAATTCAATGGTGTGTTTCTCCAAGTGCAGTGAACAAGGATGAGATAGTCTCCACCCAAAATGAGAACTAGCGTACATCAGGAAGGTTCTACATGGCTCGGACAGAGTGTACCAGAATGTCAGCACCTTAACCACTTGGCAACCTCGGCCTCAATATCTCCTACGCCTAGCTACAGGTTCGTTTTATCATTTACAGCCAAAAACATCCAACACCTGACGATCGACTACTGTTTGTACACATGTATAAATGTCTTAAGTATACGTATTACATGTTGGACATCCTTCAGAAGCCAATACATGTATACAGAGAATATTACCGTTCCAATTCATGTCAGGTAGAACTGTCGTTGGTACAGGAATTACAAGGAAAGGGTTTTGCGTCGGACATAATGTCATTGGGCAGTGTTTTGTCTTTTTCATCAAATAAAATTTGGGCAAAATGGATTTACACATAAATTAGTTCTTTTCACTTCGAGATTCTCATCAATTTTTTTTCATTTATGAAATTTAGTCAAAACTCAAAAAATGTATTAGGTCTTTTTCCGAGTTTTTTCCAGCGTAATTGAAATATGTGGTTATATTTGTATGTTAGATAAACATCTTGGAGATTCCGATATGTCTATCTATATTGTGCACTTCTTATTATGTAAAATGTAGACTCTCAGACTAACACCCCGGCACTCCCAATCTTGTCCCTCTGTTAAAAGGCACTCTATATATCTCCAGATCAATGTAGATCCACACATGTGTTAGCTATTGGATTTATTTTCCACATTAGCTTTTTTAAGTATATAAGGCCATACGTTGATCATTACAAAGTCGACTTGCTTCGTTTTTTACTGATCGAATAAATTAACCCTCAGTAATAAAGACGGAGGGTAAATTTGATCACTGTCTGTCTTTTGTTGATGAAACAAATGTTTGTACCGAAGAATTATCTTCAATTTGTTGTAATAGATATGGTATTCTCATAAAAAAAATCAAAGAATAAATAAATATACCATTTTTCTTCTCAGTAAATGGATCCTTATCCTTCACTATGTCGTCCACATTGGTTTTATAGTTGCCGTTATCGGTTGGTGTGTCACATCAATTACGCAAAGAATCAACCAATCAAATTCAGTTTTTAACCGCGCACATCACAACGCAACTAAGATATTTTTAAAAATTGGAATTCTATATTGTCTATTCAAAAATCCAGGTGTTTCAATGTCATGATTGAGAGGCATAGACGCGCAAGATATAAAGTGATAAAATTTATCAAGATTTTACAATGTGTGTGAAACCACAGGTTTTAGCCTCGTCTGTCAATACACCCATAAGATTATATTATGAGTGTATTGATAGACAAGTGTAGTTAAACTGCATTATTTTTTCTGTGTAGTTGTTGTCTTTCACTTCCTGTTTATTTCAGAAATCAAGTCCGTTATTCAATTAGTTTGCATTTTCAATAAGTTTCCACAAATTGTTCCACACTGCTTCAGGAAGGTTACGCATTTTCGCTACACACATTTTAAAATTCACCAACAGAAAAAATACGACCGTTTAGGCTTAGTGTTAAGGTTCCGTTACAAGCTCATATCCCGGAAACGTGGCAAGGCATTTGCGTAATAGATTCGATATAGGCCTAAACGTTACTGTCAGTACAGTATACCAACACAAAGCTACATGAAAAGTATTTGATATAGGTTTAGATATGATATCGGTATAACAGTTGTTTACTAGTTTACCTTTGTGCTCAGCGTTTCGATACTCATCTTGCTTCTTGAATCTGTTACAAAACCGATGTTGAACCTCGTGTGACCCGATGAACACCCTCGTCGTTAAGAGCACGCACTGTAAATCCAACTGCGAACAACGATCGCCAAAAAAACGAACCAACCTCACGTGCTGTGTCGCATTTTGTATTTGCACATTATTCCGATTGTTTATAAATTCTGACAAAATTAGGATTTTACCAGCTCTGAAATGAAAAAAAAACTAGAATAGAACAGAGACGTATATAACACATACGGTCCACGTTTTCGGTTAAACGTTTTCGGTTAGTGTTGAATAATATTATATAGTCTCTGAATAGAATAAAAACATATTTCAAAAGTTGCGAAGTTTAGATTTCATTTTTTTTTTTTATTTAAGACTAACATTAAGTTATAGTTTAGTTTATTTTCCGATACAGGCTCTGTTACATGATTCTCTCCACAGGACTCAAACCTTTTTTTTTTTAAATATATATATATAGACATGTACACATATAATATGAAAATTCGGGTATGGACATCACGTGTTTAACAAGTTATGTTAGCTCTGTAATAAGTTCCTGATCAATCCGTGTTTATCAAGTCTGTTCTTGAATATATGTATTGATGGTGCTGATATCACATCCTCTGGCAGACTGTTCCATAATTTTACTATTCGTAAAGAAAAGAAGTTATTCCTTATTTCAATGTGCGTGTGTTGTGGGTAAACCTTTTTTTCTTTCGGAATAGTCCTGCCACACAATTTCAAGTTAAGGACATTTAATGCGTTTCGATCATAGACAACACTCGTTATCTTGTGTATTTCTATGATATCACCTCTTGCACTCTTTAACTCAAAGTAGGTAACACTAGATTTAGTTTTTTTAGCCGCTCCGGATATGGTAGATCCCTAAATCCCGGTATGTGTTTTAGTTTAAACATATTTTATTGTACAAAAATACAAATTGATCGGACAACAAGTTATTACAACTTAATAAAGTCCTCTCCTCAATACATATTGTAAAAATAGTGTATATGTTTTTGGGGAAAGGGAAAAAGATAGGGTGGAGAAGGAAAGGTGGGGTGGGTGGGGGTGATGAAGGGGATGGGTGTTACCTAGGAAAGTAAACTGTAAACTGTGAAATCGATCCGCATTTGAATAAACTATAAATTATACAAATTTCATGACATGCATCCTGGTAGAGTTATTTCAAAATGAACAGAATCAATGTAACAAAGAAATCAGGCAAAATAATGAAATACAATTTTATAAACACATATAACAACTTACACATAAATAAAAATAGAAAAGTAATTATAACTATCTAAACCTATTGCTGGATTTGATGTAATGATGCACATGTCTAAAGATACTTATGTTGTTTTCTGCCGAAAGTTGACTTTTACCAAACAAAAGTAGTTCTAGATTAAAATCAACATGCAAGGCATTCAAATTTTGGAGCTGGGTGTGTCTTTCGTTGTTAAAAAGTAAGCACTCACAAAAAAGTGAAAGGCATTTTCACAGGGATGGCCACAATAACAAACTGGACTAGCAACCAGATTTACTTTAAACAGACCATATTAAAGTGGAATACACTGATGTCTAAGATTATTGTGCAAAATGTTCAATTTACGTTCGCCGAAACCTAAGTAGATTGGTGGATAAGATTGTACATTTGAAGTTAACGAGTTTTTAAAGGATTAAATGAAGTCAATGATCATACTGAAAGGTTTAATGAATTCCAACCTCGAAGAATTGAAGGTATAAAAGATGAATTTGTTACAGAAAGCCTGAAAGGACGAATTCTATTATCATCATTGTTTCTAAGGGTGTAACGGTTATTTTCTGCAACGGAAGATGGCAATAGAGAATTTAAATAGTCCGGAGTTAATTTGTTGTGCATTTTATACAAAAGTTGGAGTTTTCTGCATTTTCTTCTATTCGAAAAAGTTTCTAGGCCAGTTTCAAAAAGTAAGTCTTCAATTCGGGCATATGAAGGAAGACCAGTTATAATACGAGACGCTTCTCTTTGGGCTTTCTCTAACATTTCTGATTCATAAGTTGTACAACCATCCCACAATTCACATGCATATTCTAAAACTGGTAAAATAAATTATTTATAAATCTTTAAAAGATTATCACGATCTAATAAGCATTTTAGTCTACGTAAGACGTTGACTTTTTTCATAACTGAAGTATATATTGCACAAATATGATCCCCCCATTTTGCACTTGAATTAAAAATTACACGTAAATGTTTATGATGATCACTAAAATTTAAAAAATTCGCCGTTAAATTCTAATTGTAAATCTTCATCAATTTCAACCTAGTTTGAAACAAAAATTACCTCAGTTTTGTCTGGATTGAATGTTACTAACCAGGTTTGTGACCATGCATTAAGAGACTCGTGATCTCTATTCATAACCGTTTGGATTTCTAGACATGAAGAGGATGATTTTAACAAAGAAGTATCGTCTGCAAAAAGACGAGAGGTTGATTCAAACACATCAGCAATATCATTAAAATAGATAAGAAACAAAAGAGGTCCAAGAATCGAACCCTGAGGAACACCTGCTTCAATGAAACCGAAGTCGGGGTAGAAATATTCAAAAAGACTCTCTGGTGCCTCTGAAATAGGTAATTTTCCAACCAATGATATAATTTCCCTGAAATTCCATAGGATTTTAACTTAATCATAAAACCCTTATGCCAAACCCGATCAAAAGCCTTAGAAATATCGCAGAATACCATACATACATGTTTTTTTTTCTTTTAGAGCAATACAGATGTTATGATAAATTTCAATGAGCTGATATACAGTAGAATGACCAGGCAAAAAAAACCAGACTGGTGCTTATAAAAAAGTGAGTTTTCAATAAAATAATTATGCAAGTATTTGAAAATTACCCTCTCAAACACTTTTCCAACTGTACATGTAGATAATAAAGAAATTGGCCTGTAGTTAGAGGGAGAATGCCTGTCACCTTTTTTAAACAGTGGCATAACTTTGGCTGTTTTCCAAGATATCGGGAACACACCAGACGATAAAGACTTATTAAAAATGATTTCAAGGGGAACATAAACTGTTTCTGATGTGTTTCTTAGCATATGTTGACTGATCCCATCCTCACCGAGGCCTTACCAAGCTTCAATATCTGCAAAGTATCTCGTATTTCATTATCATTGACTCTAATGGACCTAAGACTCCTCAGTTTTTGTCTCGATGAGAGGAACCGCAGTATTTCTGTCATCTACACGAGTTATATTACAAAAATAGTCATTTAATAAATTAGCGTTGTCTTCGTCACTAGTAACCACATTGTCAGAAACAGGATCTACAAGAGTAGGTATAGATTGTGTAGTACCAGACGATTGCATTAACCTTTTGATGAGTCTCCAATAAGCTTTTGGATCAGAGGACGAGTACTCTTCAATAATACCATGAAGATTTCATAAAATAATTTACGGGCATATTTTTTCATGTTATTGACCTTATTCCGTTGATATTTGAATTTGCTGGTGTTCGAAAGATGTTTGGTTGACCTCGCAATTTTATGCAACTAATCTCTAATTTTTATTGTTTTTCTTAATTCAGAGGTCATCCAAGGTTTCTCTTAGGTCTCATAGTTACATCTTTTGATGGAATACATATATTTGCAAATTTTAGGAACGTATCAGTAAAACGATTACAGGCAGTATCAACTGAATCACAAATTAAAAAAAGTTCATTCCAATTATAATCAGAAATAAGATAATTAAATCTGTCAAAATCTGCCTGTTTTTTCAGCCAAATTTTACACTTAAAAATAGGTTTGATAATACAGGGAATATCAATGCAAGCAATACAACCGTCATGGTCACTCAATGAATTGTCTATAGTTATAACAGAAGAATCAATACAGGAAAGCGAGTCGGTTAAAAGTATAGGATAAAGTAGACTAGATCGAGTCGGTCCAATACGAGTTGGTTCATTGTAACATTTGACATACTAAAGGAATTAATAATATCAAGAAAAACATGGTTACGAGATGCAGTTAATAAGTCGACATTAAAATCCCCCGTGATTATAACTTGACATTTGGTGAAATATCTAGAGCAAGTTTTAAAGACGTACGAAAATTTTCCCAAAAATGTAAAACAGAATGTTCAGGTCTGTAGTCCTAATCAATAACCAATACAAAATTTGGTAGAGGGATTTTTAACCAAATAATCTCATCACCTGGATACGTGTTTCGTTGCCCTTCGTTGAACTATTTCCAGCATATCAATATAGACCTAGGTACAGACAAGAAAACAGTCAACCCTGCTTTATTAAAAGCAACTACTATATGTAAAATGTGGGATATTTTGGAGCGTTAAGAATGACACTAAAAATGAAATTATAATAATCAACATTTTATTGGATAAGCAGACACAATCGCGAGAAAACAATTTTTCTTGCGGTTAACTCCCCTTACCCATACTGTTTTGTGACCGCTAGTGAAACTCGCAACTATTGAATGAATGGTTATTTTATAAAAGGACAATTAGTTATCTGAAGATATGTTTGTTTATTCATCTTTTTTTTGTATTTCTAGTGATATAATATATCTGGTAATATATACGTCTCTGAGACGTATCCCCTATTTAATGAGTGCCCAGCGTAGCCTTCTTTTATCACGTTACATGTTATGGCTCTATCTTTGTCCTGTGTCTCTATGTGTGAAAGTGTGTGACAATTGTGTTTTGTTGAATGCCTGTTATTAATCATTTTCCAGGGGCCTGTTCGTTTATGCGGAACAACCGGTTTAACCGTTTATAAATGTAACAATTTCGGGTATAAATCTTGGCAGACCTGCAAATGTGTATGCAGGCCTTGCAAGGCTTTTTTAAGGCTCGCCGGAAAGCAGCATCAGATTACTAGGTCCGACCTTATTTAATAAACGAACAACAGTGGTCCGATCGGTTTGACCGTTTAAACGAAAACGGCCTAGCTCGCCACAAATGTGTCTTGGCTATCTGAACAAAACCTTTAAAGATCTGGTTTCGGCCAAACTTATATACGTTTAATGAGTTTTTCTATGATAAGAACAAATAGGGAAATTATTTGTGGTCTGAAGTCAGAGTTTCTATGGTTTAAACAAGTTCTGAGGGTTACACATTACCGCCCGTGATCATAATGGCGCGTTTAAGACATAACCTGTTAGGCTATAGGATAGCCCACGCAAAGGTAAGCATTACTCCTTGCAGACATTTTCGTTTTACGAAGTTATTTAAAATTGTACCGAATAATTAGCAATATTGTGTACATTTTCAGATTATTAGGGTCGACTATCACGTGACTTTCTGTTTCCCCACCACGTGATTTTTACCGGTTGTTGGTAGCCAAGAATTCCAAGAAGTCCAAACACGTAGGAAACAGCTGACACACGTGTACACACAATATCTACGTTTTGTAAGTTTACACGACTTTAAATACGAATTATTTGACTAACATCTAAAGGTATACTAATGAATGTCTGTTGTTGTTTGATTATGTAACGCGCAACTACCGGCTTTGTTCGCTTCAGTCTTCACGTGGTAAGCTTATAGGCCCTGAGAGTGGCTATATGGTTATATAGCCTGTTGGACTGTTTGTGGACATAATGGAATGTCAGTCATAATCTGAAGTAGTTCAACTTTACGCCCCAATATGATCCCTTTCTTCTATAGGATTTGTTAAATATCTTGGACCTATTTTCACTTTTCCATGAACAGGTACAGTACACATGGATAGTTATAACTTATGTAATGGTCGGGCTAATGCAAGTCTATAAGCCTTGCTTATGGTGGTCACCTACTTGTACTGTCAGAGAGAACTAGTTTACAATCTGCCAATCACTTATGTATCTCATGTAATATCAACGTTAGTGCAGGCAAATTCGCCATGCACCCAAATTCGCCACCCTGTGACGAAAATGCAATATGACGTCATAATACATAAAATGTGACGTAAATAACGTCACCATAGTCTTCAACACAGTTAAAGCCTTCAAATATTTTGACAAGAAGAGGTATAAGAAGGGAAAAACTATACTTTTAATCAAAACAGTTATGAAATATCTTATAACACAACGAATCTTAAAAATTTGGTCTGTGTGACGGACATCTCGTCAACTAAACTCATTAATCTGAGGCCAGTTGGTTGTTATTTAGTGTAAATTTATTACGTACACATGAAAATACCCATATCTTAATAAAGCTAATTGTTTTTCTACAAGTGTACTTTGGTACATAATGCAAATTGTTTTTCTACAAGTGTACTTTGGTACATACATACAATGTACTGACGATCCACTGTGTTTATGGAAATGACGATCGGAAAGATTCGCGATTTGATGATTCTTCAGTTTCCATTTTCTTGCAATGTGTATTTAGAATACAATCAACCAGTATCTTTTTAAAAGTATTGTTTGCGTCTTACATTCAACAATCTTACAACACTTATATTAAAATACCATCTAGAAATTTTCTAGATTTATATCTGAAAGGAATTTGTTATCGGCCTGAAAGTACTGCTGTCATGGATCGAAAGATCTATTCCTTATGCACAAGATAAAAATAAATTACATGCCTCAAACAACCAATACAATCACTAAAACACTAAAAACATATTTTTTCAAACTTACTCTGTTTAACTCTAGTTTTTTGATAGCCCCGCCTTCTAATGCCACCTAACTAAAATCTCGCCAGCTTACGTCATAACATTGGGATATACCTTCGCTAACGCGAGATCTCGTCAAGTCTTGTGACATTGCTCATGGCCTAATTGCCATTAAAAACATGGGTTGGTATAGAAAACGTTTGAAAATACTTTTCGTAATGATCTTTGAAACATGTTATTGATACCACCTAGGTAGTACATAAAGATTAGATCTTTCGATCCATGTGCGACATGTGTGTGAAATTGACGATTTGTTCTAAAATATCAGTTTGAAGTGCGCTCCGGGCACGGGTCGCATATTTCCCCCTTATTATAGAGGGCCGGAGTTCTGACGTTAATCGACGACAGACCGATATGAAAAAAGTCGATAAAACGTCAGAATAATTCGGACTACTCCGACATCTGTTGCTGTACTGTGCGATTACATCCAAATAAAAACAAGGGAGTAGGCCCTATTCAAAACATTTGTTCCTAAATGAACTGTTTACAGTGAAGAAATAAAAAGTCTAAAACATTAGTCATATTAATTATATTTAATTATTCCTTTAATGCACTCATCCAAGTTCTGCAAATGAAGTGAATAGCAGCTTACATAAAGGCATAACATAGACATTTATCCCTCCCTTTTGTCCTCTTTTTAAGGACAAAGCATTAATTTTGTGTTGATAACAAATCATCAGTACATTATTACCCCATGCCCCATTCCCAAAATTATAAAGTATTACCCTTCCTCCATTCTTCAATATCTAAGAGTGACAAGATCTGATGTGCAGCAGGCCTAGTTTACGAGTTTCTTTCATCTGCGCTAGGGACTTGCGAACTTGCAACGTTTCACGGTATGCCAGAGGTTCGCATCCTGTTCTGCAAAATCACTGCTTGAATGGAGATAGCAAATCTAAAAGCCAGATCTTTAAGACCAAAATTGTGTCGCAGTCTAATCAATGTTAACAACAGTTTATCCTCGCACTCCATGTTAACTATGTCTTTCCTGTTATTATGGTGTTTTGGGGCCGGAATAGTGAGAAAGTCAAGTAGGGCCTGGAATGTTGATAATTTGAATCCTGTATAATATTCAAATAATCCTTGAATCTGTGATTCCTCCTTTAAAATATCCTGAACAGTCAGTGGTTTGGGTTTGTCATCACTTACAGGATTTCCCAATGTAGCTTCATGTTGTTCATACCACACTCTGTATTCATTGATTAAGGCTCCAGACTGATGAACTTGTTGTTGTGGCCTCTTGATTTCAGCTGCTGCTGATAGCAGTTCCAAAGATGTTCCTGAAAAAAAGTTCTATAAATAAATCAAATTCAGCTGATTTTATTTTATTTTTAGTCTCAGAAGAATGACATTGCTTTTAACAATGGGAATGTCATGTCTTGCTGAGAAATGATTTATACCCAACCAGTAAAAGTTAGGTTGTCACCTTGATACCAAGATTTGGTGGAAATGTCAAAGGTTGCAATGTTGGAAAAGGCAACACGGTCCTAAAGTACCAACACCCTATTGAACAGACTCAGAGAGAAAAGCCTTACAGCATCTCAGATGTTCAAAGTTGTAAACAGAAAGAAAGGTCCTACTGATGCTATGCTAAGAGATTTGTTTACAATAAAGACATTCTCTTCTGTATCAACAGATTATGGTATTAGTAGGGGGAAATTTGCCAGAGAAAAATATGTCAGTCTAAAGTCTGTCTAAAACATACATGTCCATGATTGTGGGTTAGTGATAAACAATGAATTTTCCCATCTAGCCACCACACCTGATGGTAAAGTATGTGACAAAGGGGAGACTGGTATTGTGGAAATAAAATGCCCCTTTGTAGCAAGGCAGATGAGTATTACTGAAGCTTGTAATGTGATCCAGAATTTTGTACCTAGTTATGAAAACAATGTTGTAAAAATGAACAGAAAACACAACTACTATGTTCAAATACAGGGACAACTGCTTAACTGCTAGTCACAGGAGCTCCATGGTGTGACCTTGTTGTGCTCACAACAAAAGAACTGTTTGTTGAGAGAATTTATCCTGATATTCCATTTATGACCAAAATATTACTTCAGCTGTCATTTTTCTACAAGTATCATGCTTTACCATACCTCAAAAGATAAGGTATACCATATATAGCTTTACCTAAATCACACCAACTGAGCAAACCCAATAATAATTTACACACATACTTTGATATTGCCACAATTTCACATTAGAACTTGAAGCCTTTAAAATATATTGGTTTGCAATTCCTAGTCTCTAAAAATTGTATTAATTGATAATAGTTATACATGTATACAGTGAAACCTGTCTAACCTGACATTCACTGGGGCATAACATACTGGTAAGATTACAGAAAAATAGTCTGTCAATAGTCTAAATACACAGGTCATATACTATTATTTTCATAACACATGGGATTACAGCATTATGTGTAAAGTGTCTGAATAATCAGGGGTCGGACGAGACAGGCTTCACTGTATTTTATTCCAGTTAAAACTGGTATTAAATATTTAATGAAAACCAATACAATTGAAATTGTACACAACAATACCATAAGTGTTCTAGGACTATATACATATGGAGACTACATGCCAAATGAGTTTGATGTATAGTGCATAGTTCAGTTTCTGGTTTTATAGATAAAATGATATTTTGGTATCTTTCCATTTTCAAAATTTATCTCAGCTTTATACTAAAGCATATCTATACCTTGGACATCAGTTTGTACAAGATCATGTTCTTGCTGTGGTGCTGCTACATGGCCAGTACTGTCTGGAGTGTTAACTGGGACTGAAGTGGGCTGGGGATCCTCCATATCATTGCTCAGTTCAGTGCTGTGTCTTGACAATAAAGAAATGAAGAAATTATTTTATTATGGGTTTTCAAGACTTAAGGTGTAACCATAATTATTTACAATATGATCTCAATGTATTCCTCTTTTGATATATCACAACATTAAGACATGGAGAATGGGTTGAAAAAACCACCAAAGACTCATTGGTTAGAAACTAGAAAGGGATACATCTTTCAATAAAATCAATCACTTACAGTATAACTACATGCCCTGGTTTAATTTATATAAAAAATCTCACTTTAGAATGTCTATTTCAATTTGTATGTATGCACACTTGACATTTTGGGAATAACAATTTGTTTATCAAAATGTTTAAACACCAAGGTATAAAGAAGTTAATTGATTATAGCTTATCTGATTCACTGCAACATATTTTCTGTCAGGACAATACTTTCTACTTGGAAAATCTATAGCACTGAAAAACTGATCATAATTACAAATGTACTGATACATAAAATACTATTATGGTCAAAATTGAAATGTTCATTATAAGAGCAGATTCCTTAGCAGTTTTCTTGGTCAAATTAACTCACCCAACAGAATGCCAGAGTCTCCAATGAAGGCGGCACTTTTTATTTCTCCTCCATTAGCTGGCAAAGGAACGGGGTATTCTTCTGATGGTCCCAACTCACTCATGAAATGCTGAAACAAACCAGAAGTATATATGACTTGTAAAATCAGAATGAAAAGGGAGGTGCTTTATAAACATAACAAAATTAGATATATCATGAACAGTATCATGACAAATTAATAGTTTCTTCTTTGGATTGTTACATATTTTTCATGGATTTTTTTTATGTCACTTGCAACCATTATATCAGTAACATAACAATATTTTAGATAACAACCCTACCGTCTGTGTATTTTTCTTTATCAAGAGTACTATCAGTACAGTACTGTACTG